CGTTGAGGTGGTAGCATACGTTTTTGAAGCTAGTCATAGTCCATATTACGAAGTGTAGTATGCCATAGAATGCGTATGCACTCACGCGGGTCAGGGGACGAACCGTAGACCGTCTGAGACGCAGTCGAGTACCGCATATATGCGGGGCTTGGCAATTCGACTTCCCTCGCTTCCACCCCGACATCTACCATGGAGGGCTGCTCCGACTGCACCACAGCGTCCAGGTGTTCCAGAGGGGGACGAGATCAATCGCATCCACTCCGGCGTCTGCCATAGGACGCGCGACAGGGGAAGTGTTGATCCCGACCTCATGGTGGAGGACGACAGGCTTCGCAGCGTCCGGGTCTCCTAAGGTTTCCACCAGCTCCGCGATGCTGCGTTCGAGCCGCTGGAGCCGTTCCAGCACCGTCGGCGCTCCTTCACCGTCTGCGTTGGTCGCCGAAGGCTGCCCATGACCTGTTCGAGACGCTCCGCCTTGCCCAAAAAGATCTTGGACGCCTGTAGGAGATTGCCGTGCACTTGGAGGAGCGTCTGGTTGTCATCCCGGCGCGCCGTGTTCAGCTCGGTGACCGCGTCTTTGGTCTGCTGCAGGGTGGCTGCGGTCTGGTCGAGCCGCTCGTTCGTGTTCTTCGAGATGCCTCCGAGGACAATCTCAACGCGGTCGAAGCGCGCCATGGTCAGGGCGTAGCTTCTGTCAAGCGTTTGGAAGAAGGTGTTTTCTAGGTGGCGGAATAGAAGGGGGGCGTTTGGATACTCCTGCATCTGGCCTTGTGCTGCCATGGGATTTGCAGGGGACGGGCCATGGGTCGAAACGGCGGCGTCGGGAACAGTGGACGATGCCATTTGTGGGTGCTGTGGTGGAGGTAGAGGGGGCGCGTATGGATTCATCTTGTGGACGCGACGCGCCTGATTAGGGCGCGTCCCGTAGTGAAAACATGGGAACGCACTTGGAGCTTATCGTGCAACTTCTTTATGAGCGGTGATAAGTTGTACGCTTGCCCACAGAGGTGCAACGAGCAAGAGGTGCGGAGATGCGTTGGAGGTGCGAGTTCAAGGAAGTGGTTGTGGGCAGAGGAGAGGGGGCGGCAGAAGCACGGATTTGCCGAGCCCCGCGACGCGACGGCTGAGCGCGTCATGCGCCGCGATCACGTGGTGGAGGTTGTCCATACTTCCGAACGTCCACTGAGCACTCTTGAGTTTCGACACATTAACCAATGGGCCCGTGGCTCCTGAAGATGTCCGCGAACCATGTTGCGCGGTTTTCGAATCCCGCTGCGAACTCCTAACGCAATGTCCCAGCCAACACCGACGAGTGGCGCTTCAAAGCAGTGCTAAGCTCAAGACGCTGCCAGGTCGAGTTTGGCTGCTTCGTCAAGGACTAGAAGCTTGGTTCAGTTGGCTCAGGATGCTCGACTTCCATGTGTACTGGGGTCTGAAGATATGGATGTTCATTTGTGCGCTCTATGCCCAGCTCCGCGCATGCCCGGCCTGCCAGGAGCGCCATGCCTACACCGACGAACCACTGCCGCTACCTTGGCCCACCCTCTACACATCTACGCCGGACGGCTCGAAGAACGTGGCGAGCCAGCGCGCTTCTGTCTCCATGTCTTCCGCCGAGCGTGGCTTGCGATCCTCGTCCGCGTCCACACGCAGCGGCACCGACTGCTCTTGCCGTAGTGCGAGGGCACCAGGAAGTGCGCCTTCTGCATGGGCGAGCGCGGGTATACGTCGTCGTTGTTCGGGAACGCGTCCCCCTCCGTCTTGCGCGGGAGGAGGTGGAAGTGCACGTGCGGGACGGTCTGCCCCGCCGCTTTCCCGTCCTGTTTTGCCGTCACGCGAGGTTTGCATGATGGGCCGTGAGCGTGGAGGGTCGGGACGGGGGAAAGCGGGGTGTGTGAGTGGGAGGTCGGCACGTCCGGAGTTAAGACCGCTTGGATCGCGCACCTGGCAAGCGATGGTGAGTCCGTCCGCGCGAAGACGCGCTCGATGACGCGCCCGACGTGCTGCACCGATGCAATGAGCGACGCGAGCTCGTCATGCTCCAGATCGGCGAGGCGCGGGACGGGACGCGTGGGGATAACGAGTACGTCTGCAGGCGGGCCGCGCGGGCGAGGGTGGGAGGGCTACTGGTGAGCGTTCGGAGGCAGAGACGGCGGCAGAGCGCGAGCGGGTGGGAGACGGACGCACGGCCGGGGACGATGGGCTTGAGGTTGACGATGGCGGCGGCGAGGCGGACGCGGTAGAACGCCTGGCGGGAGACCTCAAAGGAGGAGAAGTAGAGCGGCGGCATCCCGGGTCTCGTCGCGCGGCCGGGCAGGGCAGCGGGGGGCGAGGACGAGGGCAAACTGGGTGGGACCAGACGAGGCGGCAATCGCTGAGGGAGGGCCCAATGACATCAGCGCGGGCTCAGTGCACCCGCGGCTCCGGATGGACGGACGGACTGAGGTGTGCATCCTATCTTGTCTCCTGCGCCCACGTCTCTCTCTCATCCTCTGCTCTCCGTTACCCCCCTCGCCGCGAACGCAGCCGTGAAAACCCACACAATGTCGCACGCCGCACCGAACCCGCCCGTGCTTTGCTCCTTCCCGTCGAGCGCCGAGCTCATGGAGAGCCTCGCGCGTTTCATCCTCAAAGCACAGAAGGAATCCATCGAGAAGAAGGGACGCTTCACCGTCGCCATCTCCGGCGGCTCGCTGCCCAAGCAGCTAGCCAAGCTTGTCGATAATCCCGCCGTCAAGTGGGACAAGTGGTGCGTCCCTCTTATTTCTCGCATTCCGAGCGCGATCGAGATCTTCCATCGCCGCATCCGCATCCCCCGCTCACGGTCCCGTGCTCACGCTCACCTTGGTGCGCCCAGGCACGTCTTCTACGCCGACGAGCGCGTCGTCCCGCTCGACCACGAAGACTCGAACCACGCGCTCTGCATGCGCGAGATCTTCGGCAAGCTCCCTCCCGGCGGCCCGCAGCCGACGATCCACACCATCGACCCCTCGCTCGAGGACGACCTCGAGGAGCTCGCGGACGTGTACGAGAAGGAGCTCATCCAGGAATTCGCGATGAGGGACGCCGCGCGCTTCCCCATTTTCGACCTCGTCCTCCTCGGTGCCGGCCCCGACGGTCACACCGTGTCCCTCTTTCCCGGTCACGCCCTCCTCAGCGAGGACGACCGCTGGGTGGCGTACATCGACGACAGCCCGAAGCCGCCGACGAAGCGCATCACGCTGACGTTCCCCGTCCTCAACCACGCCGCCCGAATCGCGTTCGTTGCTACCGGCGCCGCCAAGCAGGACACCCTGCACACCATCCTCGACGAGCCCGAAGTTGGTCTGCCGTCGAGCCGGATCCGTCCTGTCCACCCCGGGCAGGTGTACTGGTTTGTCGATGACGCCGCGGCTGAAAAGGTCCAGTACCCAAGGACGCCGTTCAAGATGTGAGTGGATTGCATAGAGGGTGGGCCGGGGAAAGGAACGGGTCTTTGCGGTTGTACGCTGGAAGCAGTCTTTCGATTGTATCATAACTGGGGCAGAAGTGTACGGCGTTCCACTGTGGGTGCATTTTCGCGAGGTGAAAATGCCGGTGGTGCAGAACCCAGCCCGTGGCTTTCCCTGTCAATAAAGGCCGTTGCAAAAGGCGACGTTTTGTACCACTTCTACGATTACGATATGTTTGTCAACAGTCAGCGCATGCGGGTGGTCTTGAACGACATAATAGCGATGTAGCAAGAACAGGTGGCTCTTAAAGCTTAAAGTTTCCCAACGTCAACATGTGTGACGCGGGGGAGATGGCACAGCAGGGCAGGACGCAGGCACGTCGACGTGCCACAGGCTTCGCTTTTCGCAACCACACCTGAAGGTAAAATTACGGAGTATCTGGCAAAGACGACCGTCTCCGAGTGTCTTTTCCTTCTTTGTGGCTCCTGCTGGATCTAGGCATTCGAGCCTCAGGTCAGGCTCCTACACAGCCGGACCTAGCATTCCCGCTCCAATCCGAGAGCAGGACGCGGGCCGTATACGGACTGAACCGGGAGATAGGGATGTGGCCACTGGCTGGTGTTTGAAGTGGAGGGGGCTGCGAGACTGATATGTAGGGTAATGAAAATGAATATGTCAGAAACCGTCGATGACATATGTTACGCGGAGACGTGCCTATCATATCAGGTTGAACGTGCGTGTAGGACGGAGCCTGGAAAGGAGCCTGGCCTCAGGTCACCTTTTAAATACACGAACTTGGTCGCCTTCAAGTGTGTTGAGAAATTGCTACAAATGATCGCCTCTCGCGACGGCTTGCCTGAGAGGGACACCCCGCATTTCGCGCACGCGAAGTCGAGGCTCCATGTATGGTGTCCGTCATACCTGTATGTCATTCGTGGTATTGTAGTACTGTCAACATTAATGTTCGTTACAATTCGTAGCATCCCCCGGAAGTTGACACAACAGCTCGGCCAAACCGGCCCCGGAAAAACATACCAATGTCCCTTCAAGCTTAGACGTCTTCACTTACTCCCATCTCGGGGAATACCGTCAACAGCACGAGGTCGACGATGAACATCGCCATGTGCGCGTTGCAGGCGGCGTCGTCAAGCGGCGCCAATGCAGCGTCGATCGTCGCCAGCCTTGCTTCTGGAGTTGGACCAAGTAACGGGCCCACGGCGCCTGCGTGACAGAGGTTAGCTCGAATCGAGTCGCAACAACACGCTCTAAATCTCACTAGGAATACGGTCCGCAAGCCGTCGCCGCACTGCAGCACGCGTCTCGGCCTGCTCCTCAGGCGTGGGGTCAATGGGAGGTGGTCCTGGCCAGCCGTCAGGAAATATCGCTGTCTTCGCGCTCCGGATGATGTTTGAGAGCCTTCCAGGGGAGAGGACGTGGGTGTAGAGGATGTAGGGAAGTAGCCGGCCGAGGAACGGTGCGGCGAGGGACGCAAAGAGACTGAGCAGGTGCGTCAGTGCTCGCGCAGTAGTGTAGGTGGTGTAGGGCGAAGGCGAGTTCGCGGATGCAGGTGGGGGGTTGAGGATCAAGAGCAGGAAGGTAAGAGGTGGGTGGGTGTAGTTCAGGATGGGGGCGGGTGCACAGGTGGGAGAAGACGAAGATGGGGGTGTAGGGGAATGGGAGGACGTGCTGGAGGTTCGTGAGGGTGCTTGCAAAAATGATCCTGACTCCGAAGTCGGCGATGGTAGATGGGTCGGTTGTGGGGGAGGTGGTCGTGGTGAGGGGTTCAGGGTTCCTGGGATGGAAGGTGTGGCAAAGAAGCCTGTTTCGCCTCTTGAGGGACTCCATGCAGGCTCTGGCTCCTGCATCGTGGCCTCGGGCGTGATGTCCGCAACATACGGGTCGTTCCGTTCGTTCACTTTCTTGATGGTATCTCGCGCTTGCTTGTATGCGTGCAGAATGGCGAGGCATACGCCTGATACCGCCTGCACGGCCGAAAGCACGACGATGGCGATAGACTGGAATGAGAAATGTGCGGATGACTGACGGGCCAACGGAGGTCGCGTCGTCGGATCCGCTTTGGGAGACTAGAAGAAGATGTCAGCATATGTTGTTGGCATGGGGTAGCACCGTAGGGATGGGGTAGAGTGCTTCATATTTGTATTCGATTCACATGGTGTGTCTTTTCCATAGGTGAAAGAAATGCATCCCCCAGACATGAAAGGCGATACTGCACGGGTCTGGGTCTGCGCTCACAGAGCTCTGATGATGGAAATAAAGTCTCCAGCCAGTTGGGCCGAACTGACAACTGAGCATTTGACAATCCCTATACATGGCACGTATATATAGTCCCCTCGTGTGCTCGTGAAGACAAATGCGACAGACGGCCGCCGAATCGCCGAGAGGGGGAGACCACACACCTCTGGTACCTTGCCCGCAGCCTTCTCGGGCCCCAACTGGTCGAGTATAATCTTGTGGATGAACCACGGCTGGGTGACCCTTGGCAACACACTCCCCACCAGGACCTTGAGGATGATCTCGCGAACGATGTATCGCTCCGTCTCTGGCTCGTAGTCTTCTGGCGGTAAGCATGTCTTGAGGATGTGGTCGACGGCCTGACGGACATACACGGGATCGATGACGCCTTCAGCGGATACGGCCATATGCGGCTGGCTCTGGTGGAAGAGCTGGGCGATGGAAGCCGCGCCTCCCGAAGCATAGGAGGTATGTAGCTTGGCCTGAGCATTGCGGTAGTCGATCCAGTGCTGGGATAGCAGCGTCGGCAGGTCGCGGAAGACGAGTGGCGAGAGGTCGGTGGCAAGCAAACGGGCCTCAAAGGCACGGACCACTACGGTGAGGATGCGGGCGATCTCTGGGAGGAATTCCTTGTCGTAACGCGTGATCTTGGACCACCAGGTGTTGACGAAGGCTCGTAGAGCAAGCGCGATAAAGCCATAAAGCTCTGCGTTTAGTTCAGGCTCGGCCTCGGGAGAGAGCAGGAGAGCAGGCAAGTCGGCATCGGCAGGAAGAGTGGGGAAGAGGATGCGTTTGGCGAGGGTGACAGGCTTGGCTGTGGGAGGCCTGTTGGGAGCGGTGGACTTGTCGGCAGTGGAGGAGGAGAAGGACTGGATGGAGCGGGGACCGACGCGGCGCGATGGAGGCTGGACGGCGGACATGGCCGTCGCGCGCGAGCGAGGCTCGAGGAGGGATGTCGGGCGTCGGACGAGGTGTGGACGGGGCGGGCCGCCTGGATCGGGGCCTGATCTCGAGCCGAGGGATCTGGACGGACTTGGCAACAGACCGGCGCCTCTGAACTCTTCTCTCCGCCCAGCTCAGCCTGTGCACCCAGCGCCCGCTTCCATCTCTTGCCTTCATCCCCACTGCCCGCCAGCCCTGCGGCTACGGCGGAGCTCGCTCGACCCCCCGCTCGACCCCCCGCCAGGTCGCGCCGAGCTCTTCGCGGTTGCCCGGTCGCCCTTTGTTTATGCATTAATATCCCGCCGGTCACCTGCTTCGTCCCTCGACGCTCTTTTCCACATTCCTTTTCACCCGTCAAGTCCCCCGCTTACAGCACACGCGTTCAGGACTATGCCAAATGTCTACATCCTCCTCAAGCGAGATGGTGGTTCGGGGGGCCCCTCAACTTCCACGATCATCATCATAGCCGTTGTGGTGGGTGCGGTCCTTATCCTCGTCTTCGCCCTCTTCGCCTGGCGCCTTCTCGCTCGCTGTTGCCGCTCCTCCGCAAGCAGAAAGGTACCCCTTCCGCCAGTACAAGATCTCGCGCGCCACCGAGAACAACAGGTTGCCGCTTATGCAGACCGCAAGAACGACCGTCCCACCACTTGGGTCGATCCTGACCTCCTTCACCCTCGCATCTACTCCCGGGCTGGCTTCTCGAGCGGAAGTAGCGCTTCTCTCATCCGCGGTGCGCCCGAATTCTCTAGCCACGGTCAAACCAGGGAAAGCAGCTGGGCCCTCGATGATGCCTCCCGTGAAGGCTCGCCACATCCTCTTTCACCTCCCACCCCTTCCTATTTGCCTTCGGGCCTCAATCTACACAACAGCATGTCGAGTACGGCCAGCTTGGAACAGGATGTCCTCCCCGAATCTGGGTCAGACGTGCCTATGGTAGCCTCGCCCTCCGAGATGACCCACTCGGTCGAATCCTCGAACGACTTCTCCAGCATTCTACCCGCGCGTCCTCGGCCCCCACGCACGTCACGTTCGCGCGTCCGACAGATGTCCATTGCCTCCTCGTCTGTGCACTCCCTCCACGGTTCAACTTCCGCTCCGAATGTCCTCCACGGAGCCCCACATTCAATCCATAGCAACATCAACATCGTCCTCCCCGCTCCTCTTGCGCCCGAACTGTACCCGCACGGTCAACATCCCCTGGCCGACGCCATGAGCATGAGCGATCGGCAGAGCGTGTTCAGCAACAGTGTCACACACAGCGCTGGCTCTGACAGGAAGAGCGTAGCGGATCAGTGGCTGCTCGCGGGAACTCGGCCGCCGTCCACGGTGCGAGTCGGGACCCTACGAACAAACCAGGGCACCGGCGCCCCTCGACACAGCTATACTGGTGAGCATTCTGCCCTCTATCCGGTCCTTCTGGGCCTTTTGTTGTCCTGCCTCCCTCCCGTAATCCATGACGTCTGTAGCTGACATTTCGTGTTCACCCCCTTCCTTTGTCCCTCATTCAGCGGCGCCGCGGCCCCCGACGTCCTCGACCCGGACTCGTAGCCAACTGTCAAGAGTGTCCTCACATTCCTCCGTGCGAGAAACCGAGGTGGCCGTGGCTCACCGCCGCACGGCTTCCCAACCTCCCAGCCAGATCCTCGGCTCGCAGCCATCCGCCTCTCCCGCCTCCCACTCGCGTGCGCCCTCGCTCGGTCGTCCGGGATACACGGCACGACCGGCGCCCTCCGCGCGCTCGCGATCACCCTCACCCGCTCCGCGATCACGCCGTCACTCTCGCTCACCCTCACGAGAGCTTACTGCGGGTGGGCCGCGCGTGTCGATGCCGTACCCACCCGCGCACGAAGTCGAGACCGTCTTCATGCCTCGCTCGCCCATGCCGCCCGTACCGCGCATCCCGTCCATGTACGGACGTGAGCAGGTCCCCGGCGCGCATGTGGACGGATACTTCCTGCCACAAGGCCCGCAGCCCCCACCGAAGCCGCAGCCTTGGATGCAGCCCAGTTTTCCGCCAGAGCGGCAGTCGCAGGTGTTCCACCCGCCACAACCGCAAGTGCCGGAGCGACGAGGCCGCACGGAAACCGCGACGCCGCTATCGACGGCGAGCGTGTCGTCGGGGCGCTCGGGCGACGTAGGCCCCCCTGTGCCGGGTAAACAGCGGCCGGCGAGCGGGAAGTTGCGGAAGAACAGCAGCAGGAAGAGCAGGGTTGGGTAGAGGGGCGGATATTCTTGAGGGTTGCTGGACACCTATTTTGCCATGTCTCGGGAGCCCGTCGTCGGTTCTAGACGTGCTGCATACGGGCCTGTCGATCTACATATTTCTAATCTCATCCAAGTACATGCAAAACGCCCAGCCGACCCGCCACCGCGGCGGCCACTGGAATATCGAGGTACAGTCTGGACAGGGACCGGCCGTTTGTTTTCCATATTTAGCGCCTGCTTGCTCGGAATCGACAGTCACAGTGTGACAAGCCGCGATGCGAACAAGTGACATGTTGGCGCTTCAGCGAATTCATGACAACAACGCAGGCTGTCTGGTCAATTGCTGCAACTGCCGTGGTCCGATCTCTCACCATAAGGCCGTCGCTGCCCTTTCGCCACAGTACATAATGGCCGACCGCGATAAAAACACTCACCGGAACGTCACTGACTCTGAAGACGACGTCTGTGCACCGATGGTATGCGAACAATCTGACCGTTTTCTCATGATCTTCTAACGCAATGTGATAGCCTGTTCAATGGCATGATGGGTCGGCCTTTTGGGCGGGCAACCGTGCTTGGCTCCTCGGCAGAGGTTTTCAGTTGTATGACGTTGAAGATCCACCTGTTCTGCACGAATTTCCGGGCAGATATTGGCTTTCCCCCACTAATGCATCGCCCCTCCAAGGGAAACTTCCCTGGGCCAAAGTCGCGAGAACAGCAGGGCAGCAGATCTCCTTTCGAACAGTTGTATGTCCCCATCGCTCCTCTACAACATCCATTCTTACACAAATTGTAGGGGCGCATTGCTCCTGCTCGAGATTCATCAGGCAGGGATGTCATCCTGAAAGCGATTGGCCGAAATGATCAAGAGAACGTCATATGTAAATCTCTTCTGGGAGCTGTGGAGCACACTGACCCGTCGACATTTCCGTGCATCGTTCCTCCGTTGGCCGTACTGGACACCCCCTACGACTATTCGATTGTGAGCATGCCGAGGTACGACACCCATGGAAGTTTCGCACAACCTTGCCTGACACCTTACAGATGGGGGAAAATAGATTGGATTGATGACATAGACAGCCCTCGTGAATGCTTGCGGTTCATCGATTGCATGCTCAGAGTGAGTGTTTTGCAAACGTTGACATCAAGTGAGCTCACATGCTGCTCAGAGTCTTGTATTCCTGCACGCTCGTCGCATCGCTCATCTCGTAAGTCCTTGCATGCTACTTCTAGTCAGTTCGAAAAAGTTAACGGTTATGTGTAGGACATTATAACTGTCAACATCCTCGCTGATTACTTCAGGCTCGACAACGACGCGGAAGCACTCGAAACTGACGTGCGCGAGCGTCGGAATCAAGGCGACATTGAGCATACATTCGCCCTAATCGACTTCGACGCATCGATGCAGCTTCCTATCAATGAATCGTGAGGACGTGCCGTGGACCAGCGTCGGAGTTCATCGGCAACAGAGTATTTCCTCCCGATGACATGATATGGGGAGCCCCGTTCTGCAACCCGTTCGCCTATGACGTTGGGTCAATGGGAAACATATTCCGACGTTATTGGGCGGTATGGTCATTCTCATTGCGTATCGCGCTTGTACTAACACCAAATTCTGTGTAGCCTATGGCGGCTCATGTGCCCTCTCTTGCACCTTTGTTCGACCGGATGACGACACACGTACTCCACGAGAGATTCACTGCAGAGGAGGCTCTCTGCTTTGTCAGGGATACCACCTCCCATCTTTCAGCAGAAACATTGGACGCAAAATGCTCGACGGAGCTAAACTGGTCGGTGACTAGTGATGCGTACTGGTCGAGGCTATCTCCGCAGGATCAGGCGACCTGGAGGAGACACCGGACACCGCCCCTTCCTTGGTGGACACCAATCCTGGAATGGCTCCTCCAGACCGATACCGCTTGGTGCGCATTCGCATATGTGCGTCGACTTCTCGGGGTTTAACATGTGGTTTATACCGTCTGGATATCGATGATAATCCAATTATTTCCCACCATCACTGGTGCGTCTGCGTGACTCGGTGACCGAGGCTCTAAGGCTCGGAGTGGGTATATATACAGCTGCGTGCAGAAAGCTTGTCCAGGCGCTGAAAAACGCGACGCGCGTCGAAAATTAAATCGAAATTGGTCGGAAAATCGCCAGCGGTGATGAGCACGTTTCTTTCCTCTCTCCCTCGCTGGCTCCCCCGATGGCCCTGAAAACTTGAAAATCGCGTCGCGCGCGCACTCAGGTACGAGCGGACGCTTTTCCGCGTTCTCAACGACTGAGTTGACGCATTGCGCGGCAGGTTGGGGTGGGGCGGTCATGGTCGACGATCTCGCCTCCGTTAATCACCTCGACGTGCTTCAAATGGCCACGCTACATGAGCAAGACACGGATTCACCTCTCTGTGATCCATCCAGTCTCTGCATCTGTCAAAACCTTGGAGGATGAACACTGCTGGTGCCGTGGAGGTGCAGCAGCGGGCGAGTACTCAGTTCACGCAATGAGAGGATGCCGGTCTCGGTGAGCTGCTCGTCTATCTCTTATGCGCGAGTTGCATCGTTCGCATTAGAACTACGTATAGGCACAAGGAACTGTATGATGGTTGTAACTTGTAGACGTATGCATACCTTCCTTTCACCCCATCAATCGAACACTTCTCCAGCCCTCCGAGCAAGGGTGCGACTTTTGAATCAAAAGGCTCACACAACACATGCATATCCAAGGTCTGGGACCCAAGGAATGGTAGATATAGTAATACATTCACAGTGCGCTCACGCTCGGACTCATCGGGGATTCGGAAGAAAGTGACAGTCGCCGGGGGTAAATGACGTCTCCAGAGCAATGCAGAAGGGGTTGAAACCAGTTGATTCTCACCTGTAAAGGCCTCTTCCACGCCCTACACACATCCCGGCAGGGCTTGACGCACTTCGAGGTGATTAACAGAGGCGAGATCGTCGACCATGACCGCCCCACCCCAACCTGCCGCGCGATGCGTCAACTCAGTCGTTGAGAACGCGGAAAAGCGTCCGCTCGTACCTGAGTGCGTGCGCGACGCGATTTTCAAGTTTTCAGGGCCATCGGGGCGAGCCAGCGAGGGAGAGAGGGAGAAGAAACGTGCTCATCACCGCTGGCGATTTTCCGACCAATTTCGATTTAATTTTCGACGCGCGTCGCGTTTTTCAGCGCCTGGACAAGCTTTCTGCACGCAGCTGTAGGACCGGCTGAGCCTTTCGCCACCTCAACTGGGCTTATTCCCCAGATTTCTGAGTATCGATAGGGTGGACCACGTCGCTCGGATGTGCCTGGCAGCGTTTTTCATGGCAACTTGGATCACTCCGAGCTCCGACCATGCTTTGAAGCACTCATTAAATGGATTGTAGTAGGTGCGGGCTGACTTCCCTTTGGATCCACGAGTGCCGCACACTGCGCGTGTAGCATCGGATACACAATTCATTTTCGCGTGAACGTGAACGGCCTCAGAAGCGGATCCGAACTCTCGGCGTGTTGAATAGGATGATATCGTTGAAGTGCACCCCAGTACGGCAATATATATGGTCACCTGGTGCTTAATATTCTTGACACAAGGCCATAGTTGGCAGCTTCAGACGGCCTTAGAGTAAGCAATTATTATCTACGAGTTCTCGCTGCAAGCGTATATCTGAAGTGTGATAGCGGTGAAGACTTGTGTTCTCTGCTTGCGGGCAATGCGGGTTCCGACGGATTAACTCGTGGCCGCGGCCCTCGCGCAAGGCGGGGCCACCGATTTGTCCATTAATTGATGGCGCGCACGGGTATGACTAGGCTACGAATACAAACACGAATGCTCGAGACAGAAGAGACAACAGACATGAGGTCGCGCGCGGTTCAGCGGGCGGGGAATGGGAAGTTTTAGGCGTTCGAGCGCAGGTTCACATCATCCCGAACCCGTCGTCGTCGACACCCCAGCCGCCCACTTCAATGTCATCGGGGGCGTGCATCGCCGAGTCCTCATTGACGTCCTCGGGTACGCCCTCAGCAGCCTCGCGGCCGTACACCCGGCTGTCAGCGTCGGCGAGCGTCGCGGCGGATGCAGAGACCGGGACCGTCGATGTCTTGGAGGGGCCAGAGGGGCCGGCGTGCCACGAGAGCTGTACGCCACCGACAGTAGCGATCTGGGAGCCCTTTGCGAACCCTTGCTCGGCGGCAGCCCGCGTGCGGAACGAGACGAGGATATTGCCGCCGTCGAGGGCGTCCACGGCGTCGACTTGACCGGTCGTCTAGACAGAAAATTATGCACCGTCGGAAAACGTCGTACTCCGAAGTGCCAGACGGACGCTTACCTCGTACCAGTCCCGCACCGCCTGAAGAGACTCGACCGGGGCGCCCTTGACGAGAAGCTTCTTCGGGCGGTTGTCGAGCTTCATGCTCGTCCGTGGCGGACCGCCACGGATCGCTCCGCGATAGTAGCTGCCGCGCGCGCCTCGTCCACGACCGCGGTACGGCCGGTACGATGTACCACCGTACGGTGCCGCTGCTGGCTCCGACACAGGGATGCCGAGACTGGCGGCCTGTGATGATACAACGGGGATTGTGTTGGCACGCGCAAGAGACGGGAAAAGCTCGTCGTGACGTACCTCCGCTTTGAGCTTCTCAAGCTTCGCCTTGAGCTCCTCCGTGCTCTCCTCCTCGCCTTCCGCGCCTGGTGTCCCATTCTCGCTGTGATGTGTCTCGAGCTCTTTGTCTAGCCGCTCGAGCTCTGCTCGTTGGCGTTCGTCGACATGTGGCGTCGAGGCTTTCCGTGGGGTGGACGAAGATGCTGGTGGCGGCGGAGATTGTGCAGACGTCGCAGAGGGCTTCATCTCCTTGTTCAACTCCCGCAAGCGTGCCATGATGGGCTTCTTCTCTTCTGCGGTGGCCGAGGAGAGCTTCGCCATGAGTGTCTTCTGCTCCTCGATTTGTTGCTCGATGAGCTTTTGCTTTGCGGCCAGTGCTGCCGCAGCAGAAGACATATTTGATGTGGAGCGCGCGACCGATGGCGCAGGTGCTGGTGGCTGAGGAACAGAAGCGCTTTCGGCTGTAGGACCCGTTCGTTGCGCGACGATGGGTGCAGAGGCGGCAAGCATCCGCTGGCCAGCTTGTCCGTGACCCTCCATAGGTCGATGCCAAAAGACCTTGACAAATCGGTTACCGAAGACCGCCTCCTCCGACTTCCACGCCTTGTAGGCCTCTTCGTGGGTGTTGAAGCTGACTAGAGCTTTTGAGCTGGGGGCGTCGACAGCGACGTTCGTGACCGTGCCGAACTTGCTGAACCAGTCGTTGACTGCACCCAGTGACAGCTTGTCCTCGGGGATCTTCTCCACCACGAGCGTCTTGTCATTCCGACGCTCGGGACGGAAGCTCTGTGCATCGCCGCCAAAGCTTCCACGTCCGCGTCCACGCCCCGCCATGCCGCCACGACCATTCGCCGGTAACGGGCGATTGGACGTGTTCCCGTCCGTTGCAGGGATCTGAGGGGAAGGAACGGCGCCATTTGACTGAAGTTGCTCCATAGGTCGCCCAGGACCGTCGCCATTGATGTGCGGTTGGACGTCTTGAATAGGTACTTGCGGCGTCAGGTCCTGGATGACAGGCAGCTCACCGGGGTTGCGTCCCATTGGCGCATCGCTCTGTTCCGTACGGGGTAGCACTGCTGGTCGAGGATTTTGTCCGCGTCCTGCCCCCATCCCATTCATCGGCCGCATGTCCATCCTTTCGTGAGGGTCATAAGTAGCACCGGCGGCGTTGCCCATGGGGAACGGCATCCCTCCTGGGCCCATCATGCCCATGAACGGCATACCGCCGCCCAGGGGGAAGAGTTGACCAGGGATGACGGCATCGTCCCCATGACTGTACTTGCAGAACGCGCCCCGCGCGCAATAGCCACTGTCTACGCCAAATGATGAGGGATTGGGGCCGGGGCATGAGCCTGCAATTTGACTCACTGTGATAGTCCCTGCAGATGCCCCGCCGCTGGTCTGGGGGTCTGTAGCTCTGGCCATTGCGCCCGTTCATGCCCATCCCGTTCATACCCGTGTTCATCTCCATCCCCGCCATGCCGCCGTCCATGAAGTCAGCACGGCCGCTGACATTCATCCTCCCCCCGCGCTCGCCACGTCCGGACCACGCCGAGCGACCATCGCCACGACCGTATCTTGACGATTGGCCGTCATGGTTCAGTCGTGCGCCCTTCGAAGGTCCGTGCGAGTCGTAGTCGGTGCCGTCGATACCGCGTTTCCGGCCCCGGTCGGATGGCTGTGATGAGGGTCCAAAGAGACCGTCGAGAGGAATTGGGATGCCGCCATCGGCGGAGGTGCTGGGGGCGGGTCGGTCGGATGAAGAAGGAACGGCAGAGTAGGGGAGGTATGACTTCGACCGGAGGGCGGTGAACAATGTATCGACGAAGGCGGG